ATTTTGTCGTTAAGTGTAATCATTTTGGTGTTGTGAAAAAAGGAAGTAGGAAAAGAAAAAGTAATTTAACTGGGTCAAAAATAGATCAAATGCCAGAGCATACTATATAAGACAATGTAACAGGGTCAAAAGCAAAGCAAGAATTGCATATAAAATCAGTAAAAATATAAGCTTGCATATTCAAAAAAGTACAACGGATTGAACCCAAGTTTTGTTATGCAAAAGTTTAAAAATTGGTATAACAAAAACAAAGATGAAAAAATATAAAATCATTAGAGTGTTCGCAAAAAATGTATTCCCAAAATCCACTAAATAAATAATGTTGTCTAAAAAACGTTATCAACAAAAACCGGACCCACAAAGGCAAAAATCTTAGAAACGGTATTATGAAAATAGACACGCAATATTAAGTGCAACAAAGGATAAGTTTTTGAGATATAAATTTCTGATAACAAAATAGATAGATTAAAGATAGCACTTAATAGAGAAAATAAGAAGCGTCTAAATAAAGATTATGATCGTAATTATGGTTAAATATTATATAGATTACGTTTTAATTACTCATTACCTGCACCAAATAGTGAAGCAGGGGAATATTATTTTACGAAAATTAAAGAAGCATTATATTACAGCCCCGAAATAGTGGATGATTTATTGCCATCAAGTATGAAAGGTGTAGATTTTGAGAACACATCATATGATAGTAAATGTAATGCTGCATCAAGTATATTGTTAGAATCAGTTTTGAAAAACAGATCCCACAAAGTAGGCGTATTGATACGTGCATCAAATAGCATTAGGAAATTGAAGTTGAATAGCTTTAGTGATTTTGGTGAGCAATGTCACACAAAGAATAGTGAGCCTTATTTTTATGAATCAGCATATTTGTATCCTAATGATATCTGTGATAGCCAATTAGATAGTGCAATTGCAATCCCTGTTGCTACAAATGGCATCTGTTATGTAGCAGGGGTTGTTGATGTATCATGTATTGATAGAGTAGAAGAATGTAATGATAATGACTCTGAAGATGATAATGTTGATAATAACATAATGTATACTAATAAGAGAAAGCCTACCCTCAAGTGGCACTGTACAAGCAGGTGCAAGCCTTTATTAGAGAGTGACATTAGTTCTATTATTGAAGTTAGACGTTATTTTGATGAACCCATTTAAGAATTGAGGAAGCATTTAGATGCATGTGATGATTGTCCTAATAAGCATTATTTGACTAGATCCCTGCTTGTTGAAGAAATAGATCAAGTGCATGAACATGATTTATGTGATAATTCTAATGTAACGGTAATTGTTAAAAAAGATAAAAATAATGTTGAAAAATATTTTAAATATTCAGAAATTGTTTGTGAAAGTATAGGCCATCCTATTGTGTGTAGTAGTAATGATACTGAATGTAAAAGCATACTGCGTATTTTACGCAATGCATCTGTTCATTATCCTTTGTTGAGACGCCTTCTGAAACACTTTTATGTTGCTAGAAACGCCCATTTAACAATAGATGTTGATTCTTCCCTTGCTGATGGTGATATACCACAATTGATAAATTTAAAAATTAATGAAGCCAATGAGACTGATTTTGGTAATGTGCATTACGCTATTAATGATGGTGAAGAAGAAGACCCATTTAGAATACAAAACTTAGATACTGTACTTTATTTTCAGTATTCAGATGCTATTGACGAATTTAAGAAAGCTTTGTCTGATCAGGCTGTTAATGCTTGTTGTAGCTGTGAGACGCTTTTAAGAAAAAAATCTGTCACTGAAGCTAAAAATTTAGATAGCGATGTTTGGAATATCCTATTAGATTACATTAGAGAGAATGATCCTACAGCATTAAATAAAGTTATGTATATTTGTAATCATTGTAAATCTATTATTAGGAAAAATGAAGTTCCTGCACGTTGTGTGCTAAATGGGTTGAAGTGTGAGCCACTACCAAAAGAATTCGAAAATTTGGATCCTTTAAGTTGCCAGTTAAAACAGAGAGCCAAATGTTTTCAGACAATTGTTAGGCTAGGCACACACACCTTAAAAGTGCCTACATATAATTCTTTGAAGGCTCTGAAAGGTGCAATGTTTTATTTACCCCTTCCATTAGAAAAAACCATGGAAACTTTAAATGAGATTGGTATAGATTCTAATCACTTGCCTATTCCAGAACTTTATATTATTCTTAATGGACAGCCTACTAAATCAAATAATGTCTGGCGTAGCGTAGTTGATGTGAATAAAATAAAAGCAGCACTAAGAAAATTAAAAGAAATAAATTGGCTTTATGGAAACATAGATGATAATTTCATCGACAAATTGTCTAAAAATGTCATACAAGTTGTTAGCAATATTACTTGTAAAATGCTTGAAAAAGCAAATGATCAAAATTTAGAAGGCCTTTCGGCATATACCATAAGAAAACTTGGTAGTAAAATTGCAACATGTTCTGATATCAGTCAATATAAATTAATGAATGTAAAAGAAGCGCCTATAGACAATAGGCAAGAGCATCTTGATTTGTTATGCTTTCCTACTTTATTTCCAACTGGACAATATGGAGAGCATCATCCCAGACAAAGCTATCTAGCACAGACTTTATCATTTAGTGAATACATAAAATCAAGACTTTAAACAAAGATTCCAGATTTCGTAGAAATCATTTATATTGTTTGCACTATTACGGATTAAAAATTAACAAGGCCTTAAAAACTGGCATATATTATTTATTAAAAACATCAAGGGGCAATGTTGGTCAAACTGTTACTGAAATATTAGAAAAAAATTAATGTTTTAGATGAAGAATTAGAGGGCAATTTAAGTACCACGTTGGCTCCAATACGGGGCACAAATCAATATTGGCTCCGTGTGAAAGGTGAAGTCAAAGCAATGATTGCTGAGTATGGCTCACCAACGCTTTTCCTAACATTAAGTTGTGCTGAATATGATTCAGCAGATATAGCGCAATATTTAAGAAAAGTGAATAATGCACCACAATCATATAGTATTTCTAGATTATGTACTGAGGACCCTGTTTCAGTATCGTGACAATTTTCATACAAATTTAAGGATTTCTTTAACATAGTCATTCTCCAGAGAGGTGTTTTAGGCAAAGTAGAGCAATATTATGTTAAAAAGGAATATCAAATGGGTGGAGCGCCTCATTATCACATCCTTTTATGGATTAAAAATGCTCCTGTTGTAGGTATCGATCATCCAGAAGAAGTCTGTTCTTTCATACAAGATAGGATTACCTGTCATATACCAGATAGTAATACGTCGCCTGATTTAAATTTTTTGGTAACAAAATACCAAATGCACAAGTACAGCAAATACTGCAAGCGAAATATTAAAGTCGGCAAGACCTATGTATCTAGATGCCGATTTGATTTACCTAGACCAGTACGAGATAGTATTTCCATGAATGATGTAGAAAACAGCTTGAAATCATGCAATAAAATATATTATCTCAAACGAAATGAAAAAGAAGTTCAAGTCAACGACTATTATCCTTTACTGCTGAAATTGTGGCGTGCAAATATGGACCTGCAATACATAGCAGAGAGGAGTCTTTCCTTAACAGAGTATGTAACTGGATATGTCACTAAAGCAGAAAAGAGTCATGCACAGGACTTATGGGATGAAGTCAGCAGCTGTGACAACATATACAGCAGGCTTTGGAAAATCGGCCAAAAATTACTTCGAGCTAAAGAAGTAGGACTATATGAAGCTAGCGATCTTCTTCTCGGTGAAAGTTTATACATGAAATCAGTAACTGCACAGTACGTTAATGTGTACTTGCCTCATAAGAGGAGCAGAAAAATCAAAAACTATTCATATTTAACTAAAATGGATCGATCTTCGAAAGACATCTTTAATCCTAGCATAATTGAAGACTTTTATCCAACAAGACCGAATAACATGGAAGATGTATCTCTTTATGAATTTGTTGCCAATTACAATTACAAACTTCGATCAAAGCCAGTCCTTCCAAACCATAGGAAATTTAATCCTATGCAAGAAGCGGAAAGAGACGATTTTTATTACTCGCTAATATTTTTATTTGTGCCTTTTAGAGACGAGAGCACACTTGTAATGGAAGGAGAAACAATGGAAGAAGCTTTTAGGCGTCACAGAGAAGCATATATACGTGGCATTGAAAATCATTTCAACAAACTACAGAAATTATTAGAAGCTGAACATAATTGGAAGAAAATAGTCGATGCAAGAAATAAAGCCGGTTTTACTGAAGAAGAACTTCCTGATAACAAGGAAGATGATGAGCCTCAATTACTGGGTGAAATAATGGAAGCAGTAGCTGATATTGCTGACATGCACATAAATGTACCTAATTTAACATTAGAGCAAAGAGAGGCAATGCTTAATCTAGATCAAAAAAGAATTTTTGAT